GAGCGGGGCAGGGGTTGAGGACAGACGGAAAAAGGGGCTGGCCTAGGTTTGTGGAATGCTGTGTCTTTATAAGTTCTTACGACAAATACGTTAATTAAGTAGGATAATGGTTATGATGGTCTGGACAGAGTGCTAGATTTTCATGCAGATATCCACCCATGACGGGGATTGAAGTGATTAGTGTGTTTTCTGGTCTTTAAGGTGTCTTAAAAACTTTTTTTTTCACAGGTACATGGTGGAAAATTTTCTTCTTTTTTGTTTTGTTTTGTTTGTGTTTTTCTTCTTTGTTTGTTTGTTTCCTTTTTGTTTTCGTTTTTTGTTCGTTAAAAGCCTTTTTGGCGGTGGCTTTGTGTGTTTTTTAATGGTCACTGAATTGCTTTTTTTCGTCAGACAGGTGTAGGCGAGCGTGTGTACTTTACTTTACAGAATACTCGAATTTAAAAAGAGGGAAGACTAACGAAACACACTTTTGTTTTGTTTTTGTAAACGTTTCACGGCACTTGCAACACAATTAGGTGATATACGTGCCGAAGATTAGAGGTGTCCCAAGAGAGTAACAAACACAAAAAAGGAGGAGGAGATATCAGGACAATAGATGAATGATAGGAAAGAAGGAGCAAACCACACCAGAGCACCCACCAACCACCCACAAACTGACTTTATCAATTTATACACCCTGGTGACGATGGTCTGTGATGTAATGGTTAGGCCTTTGGGAAGTTGCAGACGAAAGATATGAGGTCGATTCCCTCAATTTCATAGAACTTAATATTTTATATGGTCCTGAAGGTGTTCGTGAGACAATTTAATTCCTAATTTCATGCCACATACAACTCCCAGCCCTTACCTCTCAATAGGGTCTCGATTTCTTTTTTTATGTGTGCGTGCTGGGTCCATTAAAACTTCTATGATAGAATTTTATTCGAGTCGTAAGGAAAGACATTTTCTTAAGGAACATATTTTAAGGAAATCATGTATTTATACCCCAAGAGCATTTTAATGATACCCCCTCCAAATAAATAAAGAAAAACATAATTTAAAAAATAGACCAATGATAATTATAAGATGTCGTTTCATTTTATGGACAGCAATTTTTTTTTCTCTTCTGATGTTTAGATTTTTGTAAAGAGTCCAACGGGAAGTGGGTTTTTTTGGGGGGAG